CATAAAAGTGAGGTCACTCCACTCTTTCAACAGTTTAAAAAGATTGTTGAAAACTTTTTTTAACGCACAATTAAAACCGTTTATTCTGATGGGGGGGCGAATACATAACCTTAGGGAAATTCTTAAGCACGTGTGGTATTTCTCATTTATTTACGCCTCCCTACACTCCAGAGCACAATGGCTTTGCTGAACGTCGGCATTGTCACATTGTGGAAACTGGTATCACCCTACTTCACCATGCATCCATGCCTCTTAAATATTGGACTCATGCTTTTCTTACCCCAGTTTATCTCATTAATAGACAACCCGCTCTCTCTCTTAACTTCTGCACTCCATATGAAAAACTCTTCCAACAACCTCCTAATTACACTAAACTTGCTGTTTTTGGGTGCCAATGTTTTCCATGGTTACGTCCTTATACCACTCATAAATTAAAACCACGCTCCAAACCATGTGTTTTCCTGGGATATTGTGACCAACAAAGTGCCTATCGTTGTCTTGATCTTATCACCAACCTTATCTTTGTCAGCAGACATGTTGTGTTTGATGAGTCAGTCTTCCCTTTTTCTACGTCCTCACCACCCGTCTCAAATATCACTTCTGAAGTTGATCACTGGCTTCAGCCTTCTATGTCTTATTTTCCCATTTCAGGTACTCTGGTTGCGGGGGCGTCTCCTCCTACTCATACCTCGGCTCAACACTTGACTCTTGACACGTCACCCACTACCTCTACCCAAACTTATATACAACTTTCTCCCCCCCTAAACCAACACCTCCACAAATTAATACTTACCAACGCCACCCAAACCCAATCCTCCTATCCCCAACCCTCATTTACCCACCACCACTTATCTCACTATCTCAACCCCACCCCTCGATACTCCACCGCCTAAACGTACCCATCTGATGACCCTTCGACCCTGTAAACAAGCCAATGTTGCCACTGTTGATCCTTTACCTCACCATATAATTCCCACTTGTGTTTCTCAAGCTATGCAGGTACCAGAATGGTGGAGTGCTATGACAGTAGAATTTGATGCCTTGGTTCGACAGGGCATTTGGGAGCTTGTTCCAACTCAGTCTGGTCAGAATATTGTGGGTTATAAATGGGTATATACAGTGAAGTAAAAACCGGATGGCTCCTTGGATCGCTATAAGGCTCGGCTAGTGGCTAAGGGCTTCCATCAGCGCCCCGAGATTGATTATTTTGACACCTTTAGTCCGTTCATCAAACAGGTTACCATTCGTATTGTTCTGACGATTGCTCTTTCTCATGGTTGGCCAGTACATCAGTTAGATGTCAATAATGCATTCCTACATGGGACTCTTCAGGAGGAAGTTTACATGAAGCAACCTCCGGGCATTAATGATGGTTCTGGGTTTGTTTGTCGTCTTCGGAAATCTATTTATGGGCTTAAACAGGCACCTCGGGTGTGGTATCAATCTCTTAGTGGCTTTCTTCTCTCACTTGGGTTTTATCAATCGGTTGTTGATGCCAGTCTGTTCATTTTTTCCTCCCATCCATCTTACATCTATGTTTTGGTTTATGTGGATGATATTATTGTTACTGGCTCTACACCCGACTTGATACGTCAGACTATTGACTGATTGGCCCACCGGTTCTCTATCAAGGATCTTGGAGCCTTACACTATTTCTTGGGCATGCAGGTTACTCCTACACAGGGTGGACTCTTTCTTGATCAACATAAATACATTATGGACTTATTAAAAATATTAAAAATGGATGAGGCTAATCCGGTGGCTACGCCGTTAGCTCCCTCTACTTCATTAACTTTGTTTGACAGTTCAGGCTCATGTGATGCCACTCTCTATCGTCAGGTCCTTGGGTCACTGCAATATTTGAATCTTACCCGTCCAGATGTTGTCTTTGTTATTAACAAACTGGCTCAATTCATGCATAAACCTACGGTCAATCATTGGCAGCTTCTCAAACGTCTTTTGCGTTATCTACAGGGAACTGCTTCTCATGGCCTGTTTCTTTGTCGCACCACATCCCCCTCTCTATGTGCCTTTGCTGATGCTGACTGGGCAGGGAACCCTGATGACCGTTCCTCTACTAGCGCATATGCCATTTTTCTTGGGGAGTCTCTTATATCTTGGAAGTCCGTCAAGCAGCGTACCATTGCTAAGTCTTCCACGGAAGCTGAATATCAAGCTCTTTCCACCGCTGCCTCTGAAATTATTTGGATTGAATCTCTTTTGCGTGAGTTGCGGCACCCGCTCCTTTCTCCTCCACTCCTACTTTGTGATAACAAAGGTGCCACTACGTCTTCAGCAAATCCTGTCTTCCACACTCGCATGAAACATGTGGCCATTGACTTTCATTTTGTTCAGCAGCGGGTTCAACGTGGACTTCTTCAAGTTCATCATATCCCATCCTCTGATCAGATAGTTGATGCCCTCACCAAAGCGTTTCCCCGGCAACGGTTCATTCTTCTTAGAGACAAGCTCAGGATTCTTGGTAGTGACATAATACCTGGCTTGCGGGGGCGTATTGAAGGAAAGAAATAATTTGCATTTAGAACATAATATTGTAGTTAGCCGTTACATATCTTTGGCATTTACTATAGTATTATTATTTACCTTATATACATGATTAGGATGTGTATAAATAGCAGCCTTGTAAACCAGTTTTAATACACAGAAATATATTCAAAACATTTGTTCTCCTCTATATCTATTAAGACCCATGGGCTCACAAAAGAGGTCAGTAAAGTTGCCCAGAAGTGCTTCCAGTATAGCATGATATGTGCCCGGTGATAAGGCCATGTTGGTCGGCCCAGATCTAGGGTTTTGGCCATGCCATTCAACGCGTTTGTTGGACTAGGAAAAGTTCATTGTGAGCTGGGAGAAGTCCCATATAATAGATCCCAAACTGCGAAGCCATTCTACCCCTAAAATCGTATCAAAGCCAGCTAAAGATAAGACATAGCAGTCAGCCTGGAAGTTGATGGAGAGGACTGTGAATTCCAGATAATGGATTCGGCCCACAATCGGAACTCGCTCGCCATTAGCCACAAGAAAAAATAAATGAGACGGTTGAAGCGTAGGAAACTCAAATTGCTTGACAACACGCTCATGAATAAAGTTATGGGTGCTGCCAGAGTCTACCAAGATCGTGATTGGGATTCCTTGAATAGTTGCTGCAATCTGCATAGTGGTTGCAGACCCCGATCCGGTCATAGCATGCAATGATAAGGCCATGTCGTGTTCAGCTACGGGAATAATCATGTCCTCCTCGTCATCTAATATCTCCAATGCAAAGAGTTGCTTGCAACGGTGTCCACGAACATATTGTTCATCACAATGATAGCAAAGGCCTTTAGCTTGACGGCTGGCGGCCTCGGCTCTAGAAATTTGTTGACGCCAAGGAAGAGCTTGTTGGGTGCGGTCAACGGTCTGCCACGATTCAGAAGTTACGGAGCTGCCCTGAGACACTACAGGAGGTGGGTTCTGTCGTGGTTGGGGTCTGTGGGACACGACTGAAAGAGGTGCCACAGTTTGTTGCTTGCGTTCAATTTGTCGAGCCAGACTCATTGCAATGTCCAAGCTGCCAGGTGCTTGAAATTCAAGTTCTAAACGGATGTCAATACAAAGTCCTGCCATGAAGGCGTTGACCTCAAATTGGCTGGGTAAGCCGTCAACGCGTGCTAGTAGTCGTTGGAACGAACTAATGTATTCATCAACGGTGCCGGTTTGTTTGAGTTGAAAAAGATCTCCAGAAGGATTAGAGCTTAATGGAGGGCCGAAACGGAGAAGACAATTCTCTGAAAATGTTTTCCATGAGATGCCTGATTGGAGTTTGTCAGCCCAAAGTTGAGCATCGCCCACCATGTGGAAGGTGGCCAAGCCCACACGTGCCATTGGAGCTATTTGTTGGTGCGCAAAGAACCGCTCACAGCGTAAACGCCAACTCAGAGGGTCCCCTGCACCATCAAAGGATGGAAATTCAAGTTTGGAATAGCAAGGAACCATACTGGAATCACCACGGTCGCGATTCTGGTTGTCATCGTTTGAGCTTGTAGATCTGCTGCTGCTCAATGCGGTGAGTTGCGAAGAAAAAGAATTCATCATATCAGTAATCTTTGCCTCAAGAGTCCCTTGTCTCTGGTTTATGTCTGCCATGAAAGTTTTGAAGGTTTCAACATTAAGAGTTTCGTTGCCCATCGTACTGGATGCTGATACAAAATTGTTAAGGGCCCTGGTACAGGATCTCATCCAAGGCCGTTGATAATGAAAGACAGGATCTGAAGCTATGATGTTGGAATAAAAAACCCTAACTTCCTGCCCTGGGCAAGGAAGGTGATTTCTGGCTCCACCAGTAAATCAAGAGACTAATTAATCCAAACTTAATACTTTATTCAAACTGATAAGCCTTATATAGGCAGAAATAAGGTTCCTAAATAAGGAAACAGATCTAAATTATTACAGACTCATTAATAAGAGATTGCCTAAAATAAGGAAGGCTAGATAAATGGAAGTAACTGTGATAAGGAAAGCAGAATAAAAGGAAACAATTAGAATAACTAAAGGGAGATAATTAGGAAAGCTTGTGGACAATTAATTAGGCCCCTTTTATGCGCCTCTGGTACACACGACCAAAACGACGTGTATCATATTTTTTTATAAAACTGGCTGCATAATAACATTTCTGTGTCAGCTGCATGGCCTTCATTGGTAGTTAACATGTATATAATAATATTCTTTTTTATTTCTTAAGAAAATTTGGTTGCTTAGAAATTATGTTGCTTATGTCTTTTAAAAGATCAATCGCTCAATTGTTCTGAACAGGAAAGCATGGTCACCAGTTTGGCTAAAAAAAGGCAAGCAACAGATTTTAAAAGTTAATAAACCACCACAAGTATGACTTAGAATATACAACAACAACAACAACAGTATGACTTAGAATATCTGGGTAAAAAAATTAAACTTCAGAAAGGGGAAATACTACGTAAGATCATAGGGACCGGCTAACATACCAATGCAGCTATCTTCTTTATTACTGCAGCAGGGCTGGCACTCAATCCTTTCACTAAAGTATGGGACAGTTGCTTTAGCATGGAAAGCTTCTTATCTTTAAGTGTATCAACAAGAATAACATTAGGTCTGAGACCCTCTACATCTAAAGCCAAAAGGTCTTCTAAAGACGGGTCAGTGTCAAAAAGTTCCTTGAATCTTCTTTCCTACAAAACATTAAGCAACATTCAATGAGTCTAAGTCCACAAGAACAACTTATCACTTAAGTAACCAAGACAACTAAATTGAAGCTCAAATTGACCCACCAGGCCCTCACCCATGTGAATTTTAATTATAAACAGTACTTGACAAAAACCACTCACAGAAAATTAAGCATGAAAATTTTGAATGGTGCAGTAACAATTTAAATTCTTGAATGCTTCATATATACATCATGCTAGTTAAAACCTACATAGCCTCATTCCAGAAATTTAAAATGAAGGTATGAAGAATTCCATGCTACTGACCGGGATGACGAAATAAAAACCATCCGGAATGGGTTCAGAAAGTTTTCCAGTTCCCCACAGAATCTGTGATGCTCTCTTAGGTGCTGAGCTCTCTAGCTGATTAGTGTTACTTAATCCATTTCTGTCTGAGGTTTCCGCAGAAGAAGTAACAGAAACCGACTGTAGTTTTTCCATAAAATCATCTGGCCACCATGGAGAGTTGGTATTCGATGCCTCCATAGGCCCAATATCATCTTTCGAATGTTCCATATCATTACAAATTCAAAGGGAATTTTCTTTTAGAAGCATTCCCATTATCTTGAAACATAACTTTGCACAAAGCTGAAAATCGACAATAGTTCAAACAAAACCTTTCTTTGAATTCACTCAAATTGATAGCTGTGTGACCTACAAAATTGAAGCCTGAAATTAAGCACAGAAATTTACAGCACAAAGCATATGCAGTCATGTGGCAAGAAATGTGCATATTAAAATCATCACATGAGTAGAAGCCGCTATGAAAAAATTACAAATGAAATGATATGAGAGTACGAGACCAAATTATACTGATGAATTTAATGACTGCAAATTACGTTGAGGTAGCAGACTACACATAAAGCCACGACGTTGTTTATAGTCTAAAACTCTAAAAACTGGTCACTATGATTTGGTTTCACAACTACTCTGGTAGCAGAGTCAACCAAATAATTAGGAACCTAGCCAATCGTGCCTATAATAGTGGAAGGAGCAATGAGCAGAATATTAAAGATGCGGGTGCATAAGGCTGTTACTAGTGACTTTGGGGACAAAAGCTGGATTATGATGAACGGCTAGTGTTGACTAATTGATGCACATGAAAAGAATATCAGAACGCAGTGCAAAGAGTTTCACTTCATGAAGCCATCTACATTCTAGTTATCTAGTGATTTCCAAACTTACACGCTTCAACGCTGCCAACCGACAGCTCCTTTTCAGTTTTCCTTTCCGTGTCTAAAATTCTATAAATATGTATTTAATGCTACATAATGATTTGATCACTCGAAAGTTACCAGAATCTGAAAACCCAACAGTTATGTATGTGGTATGCCCACATCTACAAAGACTCATTCGGTAAAACCATAGCATAAACCCCACTGGTCTTAGAAAGTAACGAGTAGACTAAAAAAACTCTTAACCCTCGTACCAAAAACCATGCCTTGTTTAGTTAAACGTAAAGGCTAAAAGGTAAAAACAATGTAATCAGTTCAATATTCAAATTATATCCCTTGAATGAAATGAACCCCCTGGAAAGACCAGTGTGAAGTAACTGATTAATCAGTATATTCATTCTTGAATTGAAGAGGCATTGCATTGGCAATTGCATGCACAATCCATAAATCTACCATGTTTTCATGTGCAAAAAGATTCATACTAGAAAAGAGCTATCGAGTGTCCACCAGAGCACCGACCTACGGATACCCACTGTAATGGCTTATACCGATACATATCATCAAACACACCCTTCAAACCACGGATACCCACTGTAATGCGTATACTGATACATATCATTAAACACGTCATTCAAATCGTATTCAGAATACAGATATACACTCAGGGCCTAGACAGCATTCATGTTTGAGATCACGTATGAAACTAATATGTACTCCTAACCGTATAATAATGGTAAAAAATCATAAGAAGTGATAGCCAAATCGAAAAACCTAATTTAGAACCACCGTGAAAAACGGGGCACCCTTAAAAAAATAAATGTTCAAAAGATCAGATGTAACCAGTCTAACACTTATTCCATGAAGAAGAAATCATGTACCAATAGATGACTCTTTGAGGATACGAATTCAAAGTGCATAAATCATAACGAAACTGTGAAGAAGTACAATTGGCGAATTGAGAGAGTACATGAAACGCTAATTGTGGAAGGAACTCTTCGAATCATAGCATGTGAATCTGAATCTGAATTTGAGTGCGCTGACTTTTCTCCCCTTTCATGCATCGTCTGTACGTCTAAATCTGCCGCTGGCATTTATGTGAAATATGTACATTCCTCGTGGGCTGTCGGTGATGACAAACAGGTACAGGGAGAAAGGTGAAGGAGATTCTTACGCGATCGGAAATGCTAAATTCTGGCGGGTCCAATACAATCTTGGCTGAGCAAGTGAGTACGTGCCAATTTTGGTTGATATTTTTACTTGGTCAATCTCAGAATTGGCCAAGTGGATTATCGATCTAGATTGAATTTAAACGTATCATACTACGTATTAAATAAGATCACATTTAAACAAATTGAATCACACCACTCTTCCATAGTCATAAAATAAAGTTATAACTAAACCAAATCTATTCTACTAGATCAGACCAGATCAAATCAAACTAGATTTAAACCAGACCAGATCAATAAATTCAGTCTAATTAAAAACATCATAATTGTATACTTTCACTTTATCTACTCCCTATTTTAAATATTGCCACAATAAGTTTTGGAACATTATTTAAGAAGAAATAATGGACCACAATTGTAATTTTATGGGTTTATTGTTTTTAATGGGCGTTAATTAAGTTGTTATTTTTTGTTATCTCACTAAAAATAGAAATTTAGTGAGAATATTTACTTGAGATGGAGCCGGTAAAATGTCCGTAAATTATAAGGTACAATTGGTTATACCTTAAATATGATACAGTCGGGTATTTTTGTAATATGTAGGCACTTTAAATCTCTCAAAAAAATTCTCATCCCTAACCTCTCAATCATGTGTAGGTATACCCAGAGTTTTTTCACGGATGGTCTTTGTCATCGGGATGGAATCTACCGTTGTTGTCTTCTGTTGCACTCATCGCCTCACACAGCATCACAGATCTGGCCTCTGGAACTTTGGTGGTCCTCGCCGCAGGTATAGCCGGTTTTAGAAGGCCGTCTTTCCTTGCCGGTCGTCCAGCGTCACCATCGCGTGTCGGTCGTCCATCACTGCGCTATCGCTTGTGGTTGCCTGTCTTCCAACACTGTCACTTGTCGCAGGACTCAAAAACGACGAATCACCATTTTTTATAATAAATTTATTACACCTACATAATATAGAAATGAGTTTCATGTTAAACTCAAATGAGTATAACACTTAAAAGGAATGAAAGTATACAAATAAATTTTGAGCACATTAGAAATGAGTTTTATGCTAAACTCAAATGAGTATAATGCTTAAAAGGAATGAACATACACAAATAAACTTTTGAATTTATCGATACTCCTTTTATAAGTTACGTATCATATTACATTAGATTCACATAGGACTTGATTATGGGCATTAGAGCATAGATCATGATACTCAATCACATGATTCTAATACTCAATAGAGGAGGTTTGATACTCAAAGAAAAAGTATTGATGTTCAACTAACAAAATTTACGATTTTCGTATCACTGCTCATTTTCTAAGTCATGTATGCTCATTTGATACTATTATTATGCTCATTTTAAAATGTCATATCAATGCATATTTCAAAAATATCATATTACAATAGATTATTCGCACATTTGAATTCATAGGAGTTGAATATATATACAATTTAATAAGTTTTTATAAAAGAAAAAATAAGAAAAAGAAAGTGAATTAGAAGATATGAAGCAGAGATCACGATGCTCAATATTAGACTCCTAATACTCAACATAATATGTTTGCTGCTCACTAAAAGTGCACTAATATTCACTTAGCGAAAGCCGCAATTTTAACTTAAATTACGAAAATGTCAACGGTTGTACGATTCTCACCGTACAACCGGTTATACGATATACGAACTCGTAAAATGTTACCCCCTTTCCCGAGTCCAAACTTATTACTTATCTCTTTTGAACGTCACAGTTAAAGTTAAGGGGCACGATTTGGAACAGAATGAGCTTTGTGTTATCTTGGTACCTGTTGATCCAGAATAACAGTTCAGAATGAGATGAGACAAGACAATATCTTATTTTATCCCATTTAAATCGATATCGGAACAAAGCGGGACGATTCAGGACATCCTGAAAAATATATGCAATGGAAAAACTGCAATACAACCAAAAACATGAAAGCAATTTGAAAAAACAACAACATGACACAAAATTACAAACAAGAAAAGTAGAATACTGTAAATAAATTAATAAAATATCTTACTATATACAAAAGGGAGTGGCAAAAATTAATAATGTTCCCGCCTAAATGAACAGTACTCAGATTCATGTACTCAGACGTGTTGTCCTCTTTTGCCTTTCAAGCAAAAATGAACGGTTCAAAAGATAAATATGATGAATGTATGAACATGTTGAGTGGAGGAGTAAAGAAGATATGCGGGGCCCAACCAAAATGAAATTCTCATTTTTTAAATGTTATTAATTTTTTATTTGTTCTCCGATTTTTACAAAAAATATATCAAATTGCATAATTTTTTATGAACTTTCATATGACAACAATGAAGCTTATATAAAGTTAAAAAAAATTAAATTTCAACTGCTAGAGATTTCCAGGTTCAATGTTTTTAAAATAAATTCAAGTGATAAAATGAAAATCTGGTGATTAAAATATTTTGAGCTCATTTATTAGCATTGATATTGGCTTAATCAAGTAAGGTGACTAAGTGAATATGTATGAATTGGTGGAGAAATTTATTTATTGAAGTAGAAGAATACGATTAGGTTAATGGACAAAAAGAGATTACAAAAATAAGGTTTGTGTGACGGATATAACTCACACGAGTTATTTGTACAATCAATAAAGTAATTATCAATAAAGTAAGTTACTACTTTCGGTCCATTTGATGTGTCTTCTTTTGGTTTGACAAAAAAATGGTTGAAAAAATAAAAGTTGTGGTTGATATTTATGTATAATAAAGTGAAGTAGTTTGGATCACATATTTCTTTCCCAAAATTGAAATGTGGCACATATGTTGTGACAACCCTAAAGGAAAAGTAAGATTGATAAAATGGAACGAATGGAGTAATGTAATACGGAATATATACGTATATATGTGTGAGCCTGGACGCACGCAGGCACACATATATGTGTATGTATGTACATAATTGTCACATTTTTTATATACAATATAATTATAAGATTTGGAAATAAAGTTACAGAATCACTTTTAGTTTACATTTTATTTTTAATTTGAGTTTACATCATAATATAAATATTTCATATTTATATATTATATTTTCAACTTTTATTTTATTTTGTAATCGTATTTTTTATTTTTTATTTTCTATTATTTTCGTATTTTTGATACTTTTAACGATTGAGAGAATGAATTGAACAATTCAGTCAGGTTCATGACCCCTTAAATTGTCACGTCATATCCGCACTTGGCACATTGCCGGGGTGACGCAACAGTGATCGACAGACTGTTACCTGTAAAAAGTGATCTTTTTATCGAGGTTAGGACGCCAATTAAAGCCTTTTTTAATTTAAATGGCAAGCTGTGCATTTTGGACTGGTCGAGAGACCTATTTGAGCCTTTAGCTATAAAAATGTAGGCACACTCGCAATTTAAAAATACTTTTTTGTTTATATAAGTGTAATTTGGAGGTTTGATTATAAACGTAACTGCTTTTATAATGTGTGTTGACGTTATGTGTGGTTATATATGAAATATATTTTGTATGAAAATAGAACATTTTCAAAGATAAAATGCACACCTTAGATAAAAAACTATATATTAACATGCATCGGTTTTGAGATTTCAAAATCTATCATTCGCGAGATAGATGTACATGTCTTATATGGCGTGAGATTTCTTTCACCTATCCATGCTAACTCAACTTATCTTACTCAAATAATGGTTAAAAAACTCATAATAAAATTTAGATTTTCAAATTTCTAAAAAAGGCAAAGAGTTCATATATAAACTTTTTCTTTCTTTTTTGACAAAGAAAAATCTATGGTCTATGTACAAGTCAAGGCGGTGTAAGACCGGCCTCTGGGTCGAAGGTATGCGAGAGGTCGCGCCCCGAGCCCCTCTCGTACATCCATTGTCCAATCGCTGGCCAAACAGCTTGCACAACTCATTGGTCCTAGACCAACAGTGTGCGGGTCAGCCCCGCATTACCAGCAGGGCGCGGTCAAGGTCGACCTTGTCGACTTTCCGCCCCTCGCGGCCTAGGTGGGGAGCCAGATCCCCGATAAGTTATCCACGTATTCTTGAATGAAAAACGACCAAGTAAATTGAAAGATGAATGAAGCACGCGTACAAGCTCAAGCAATGAAGAAAATCATGTAGAATAGTTCCAAGATCACGACCATCTTCTCTGTGACAACTTGAAAAACAGTCCCAAATCATGCTCGTGAGTGAATCCATCCAGATCATCATGAACCTGTGGGAAGTGTCTAGGAGACCAAGTATCGAGGTTGTCGTCGTGACCCACCTTTTCTAACTCATTAGGGTCAAACATGATCCTGGACGAACCAAACTTCACAGGGTAAAATCCGGGAAGACGATATGTCAACCTATCATACCAAGTTTGGGCATGCTCCGATCATCTGTTCCATGGCCAGTCGTGTATACCTTCAAGACAACATGTGCTTTCTTCACCCACTCCTGAGCCTAGACTACCTGGCGCTGGTTCAAACTCTTCTTTGTCAGGCTTTGAAATTCAAGCTAAGTACGTGGTCATGACGAGGCCAATGATCATTACATCACCATTCATTATGAGTCACACAAAGCTCATCTCCAACCCAAGTTCGTGCAAGGCCATCTCTCCGCCAAATTCGTGCAGGGCTACCTCCATGTCAAGTTCGTGTCAAAGAGCGAGAATGTCCATCCTTCCCAGACCACCTGCGATCGAGTAATGCTCACGCAAGGATCAACACATAGCTGGGAAGACCGGATGCAATCAGATGCCATCCTCGTCAACAACTGTTCATCAAGGCGAAGTAAAGTGGAGATCCCGCCAGACTCGCTCTCCATCCTCAAATTGCAGCAGGTCAGGCCACCTTGGGCTCCGATCACCGGCATGAATGAACAGATATGCAAAAGGACTCTCTCACTGACTCAAAAAACGACAAGGAATGAGTCGCCCAAGCATCACTCTCTTTCCTTGCATCTCTCCCTTGACCTGCATAAGGGAGTCCTCCAAGCACTGCTCTCAGTCTGGAATCTTACATCCATCCTGAGGAAGCTTGAAGGTCAAATGACACCGTGAATTTAATCCTAGCGACTCTGCTATACACATCATCGTGTAGGCGGCCGTGGAAGTTCGAGCA